TTATCATCAATAAGATGATTAAAATCTCTATATCACAAATGAATGCATCATAAAGAGATAATTAATTATTGATCAATTATTTTATAAATAGGCGGATCGACCAACCTTTTCAAATTCTTGCAATTTAATAATTCATTTTTTGCTTTATCAAGCATTTTGTTTTGTTTTACCAACTTATCTTTCAGAAAATTAATGAGTGAAGCTGTATTGGTTTGCTGGAACTATTAAAAAAAAGTATTTTATAAATAAATTGATTATATCAAACATAATTTTTAATTTATTTACTAAAAATTATTAATTTTTACTCGTAAGGCTCCAGCAGCTACATCTATTATCTCATGAACGGGTTTAAAATAAGTTATAAGCTCGTCCGGAAGCTTGTGATAATAGTTATAATTATAATGAGTTATTATTATTGTTGTTGGAAATCATTGCAAGAAACATGTAAATTATGATTTTTTTTTGAAACTTACATTATCATTACATTCGACAACTACACATTTAGCATTGCAAACTAGACAAATAGTCTCAGCGGTAGTAGCAATTGAAAAGGATTTATCTAAATTTTATTTGACTAGTTTGGTCGATAATTTATCTTCAAAAATAAATAAAAATGAAACTCGTTATTATAGAGAAAATAATTACCTTTAACTTTAGCATTCGTGCTATTACCATCTTTTCCAGCATTATTATTGCTAAAAATGGCTTCATTGTTACATTCTTTATTATTATAATCATCACCATCATTAACTTTTTTGCTTTTACTGCCTTCGCCTTTGAATTTTTCAGCATCAACTCCTTTATTACTATCAACATTTATTTTGTTAGTTTTGATACATTTGTGACATATTACATGTCCACATTCAGTTAACCAAAATCTTATTTCTTCCTTTTCATTATCTTCGCACAAAGGTCCAGAATAAGCAAAACACACGTTGCAATGCAAATATCCTTTATTGTTGTTATTATTATTAATATCCATTTTTGTTTTAATTTACTTTTTTTTAAAAAAAAAAAAAGTTTCAAATATAT